GCTCAGGATACAATTACAAGGACATAAGTACTTGAATCTATAACACCATCAGCGTCTCATACTTCGGGCATTTATTAATACCATATAGTCTACCTTCACAATGATCAACAGGATTTCTCCGGTACGCGTATCTCACTATTTTGTTTAACTTATGGTAAAATCTACGTAATGATACTAAATTTCGCTATTCTGTAGAAACAGAAGAGCTTAAAAGCGTGTTTTTACCTCTTTTAATTGTCAAAAAATGATGCCCTCAATTAAAATACACACAAGTGAAAAGATTGTTCATCAAATAATATTTTGTACGGTAGTTTTGATTTAGTAAAATAAATGATAAATATAAAGGAGGGTTAAACGTCCATTGATTGTAAAATTACCGAATGTCACAAGGAAAACCCAATGGAAAATAAGCCTTGGCAACCCCGAAAATCCAGCGACAGGCAACCTGCCCGTCAAACAGAACACGGTAAAGTGTGTTAAATGGAGTATTGTATAGCCAATGATTGGGCTAGTAAAATAGCCTGTGGGCTAGTGAAACTGCAATGAACTAGCCCAGTTGGCTAGTAAAAATAAAACGAAAAATCGAGGCCTGATAATTAATAATCATACAACGCTCTACAGCTTAAGTAATGAGCACTAAATATCAGAAATATTTTTTGTTTACTGTTCATTTGTTTTGATTCATCATTTCACGATTTTTAAAGTGCTCTCATTCTGTATACAGATTCTCGTCACTTATGTTCTTCCATATTTCAATTAATACCTGATTATGACCTATGCTCAAAAGTATTCATACATTAAATATTTTATTCTGAGGCAGATATATTGACTGTTTCATTTCTTATTCATATGATTTTACATATGCAGAAGCATTATTTTATTGAATATGTATCAATTTTTATACCTACCTTTCCTGGTTTGAATTCTGGAAACAATTCGGTAACACTTGGCATTTTTCTTTTCTTCTGCGTTGTCTGTGAATCTACATTTTTTGTCGACCCTTTACTGGAATCCTTCAGTAATTGATCTTCAGAGTTTTCAGTTCTTTTTGTCTTACTTTCACCTGCCTCTGTCTCACCATCACCCTTATCCAGAGGTTGCTCTAATGGAGATTTTGATATTCCTGCAGAATCACTGGGAGAGCTCCTTGATGAGGTTGCAGGAACGACAGATGGTAAAATTATACTGGATTCCAAATCCATTCCGGAAGTTAGGTTTTCAAAATTTCTGGATGGTGTCTTATCCTCTCTGGAACTGGTTGTCTGTCTTGAGTTGGTTGAACTAAAAGAGTTTGACTGAGAGTCTTCGATTCCAAATGGAGAACCAATAAAGTCTTGATGCACGTCTTCCTCTGTCGAATTTTGGAGATTATTCAGTTCTGCCTGAAGTTCAGCCACATCCACATGCAATGACTGAGAGTCAGTGCCACTACCAATGTCTGATGAACCAGATGTTGGAGAGATGACGTTGGCATCATTAGTTGGGGATGGTCCTGAAGGTGGTGGGGGCATCAAGCTAGCATCTTTTGAATTTTCCTCTTCATCCTCTTCATCATAATTCTCATCATCGTCATCTGAAAAGTTATAGTCTTTTTTTAAGCTTTGTCCTGACATTCAGACTGTCAAACATTACTTGACAAAAATCTATTGCATGCCTATACATCTACACTTGCCACAAGTCTCTAATTTATTGATTTTTCCTAGTGTTAAAAACTTTCAGAGAGCACAACCAGTATCTGTTTATATCAAGAAAAATCCTTAAAAAGTATAGCATGGTCTCTTATACACATCTAGATGTGTATAAGAGACAGGATGATGCTCTGCTTCATCATACAATGTACAATCATGTATTTAAAGCTTCACAATAAAAATACAGCTCATTCTTATACAATTTTAAGTTTCACTTTGCCCTACATACCTCTCTTTGGGGCAATGTAAGTACCCATGTATGGTTGAATGCCCTGCGCCATCTCCTCGTCGTCATCGGCAACCTCTGTGATATCAGAATAATCAACAGCTGCACTTGATACACTTTCATCATCTGCAATGATCCAAAGTACAACAGAAACTATTATATAAAATGCAGCAACAACAGCATTCACTTTCATCTAGAACACTAACTAAATTGCATTAATAATCAGCAGTGTATCCAGGGGAGTGCTCGGGGTCCTTTCAGAGTTTGAACAAATTTAAGAAGTGCCATTTTCCGGTATCTAAAAGTCCCCAATTCTTAAATTACTCTCACCCCGGCTTCAACAATATAACAATTTTTGTAGATTTTATGTATTTATGTGCCATCTTCCCGCAATTGAAAGTCTCAAGTTCTTAAAATTTTCTAACGTCAGAGCCAACCATGACTTCCATCAGCAACCCTCTTCCTAAAATCTTGGTTACACCACTGATAATAACAAAAATAGAAATCAAATTATAATAAAAAAAAAAATAAGTGTAATAGAACTTTGACTACTGTAGGATTGATTGTGATGTAAAATGTACTTTATAAACAAACTTTAATTATTATTTCACAAGCTGTCATTTAAGCAGTAATCTTCTTCTTTAGAAACCAACTAAAATGTATCCTAACAAAATGAAAGCTTACCAAAAAACATTAATTAAATTAAATGTTATTGAGTATACAATAGGAAACATTCACTAAATGTTAAAAGCTACAGCACTGCATAAAACATTAAACCAAAGAGTATAAAACTGCAAGAGGTCCGACCGAAAAGGTGGTCTTTAAAAGATTCGAGCAACTGGCATGATTTTCTAAATTTATGTGTAGGGCATCCCCTATTTCGTGGCAGTAGTTTTATATAATCTTTGATTAAAATAAATTGAAAAAAATTTGTATAATTCTTAATGAAAATATTGATTAAATTTTGTGTAAATGGAATTAAGTGTAATAATAATAATAATATATGTATTTAATATAGTGCCCAATAATTAACCTGATTACATAGTGCTCCTATGGTACATACAAATGTAAAAAAACAAATTAAATACTGAAAAGATGCTTTATTAGGCAGTCCTTAAATTAAAATTGTGATCTAGTTCCATAATGATTAAGCACTGCCAGCACATACCGGAAAATAGTAACAAAATTATAAAAATAATAACATTCCTTAAAATAGTTAAACAATTATCTGTGAAATATTCATTACTCTCCATCGACACAAATATCCTCTCTTACCATCATCCTTGGAAGCATCATAGTCATCATCCGATGATCCTTGCTGTTGAGTCTGTGTTAGTGATTGAGCTAAGCTCCCTAGACCACTGAGGTTGCCAAGCGCTCCAATGTGGCGTACAGATTCCTGAAAAAAACATTTTATCTTAATGTATCATATACGATACCAGGGGCCTTGAAAAGGGGATTACAGATTACGAGAAATATTAATTTGTGTTGAACTAATGTAAAATATTATTACTGTATTAATTATTGAGATTACATTTATTCTGGGAGCAATGAAAAATAAAAATACATGTGTCCCTCAAATGAAAAGACCAATTAACAGCCTTGTCTCTGTTACATATTTTTGTTTCTTCAGTTAGTACTGGAGAGCTCACAGACGGATGACCATTGTATCATTTAAGAGCGCCCTCTTTAGTTTAACCTTCATAAACAATCCTACCAGGTACTGATGAGTCATTTTTGTTTTGTTTTTGTTTTGTATTTTTGTGTCTGCATTTGTAAATATAAAATGATGGAAATGACATGATATGATAATAAATATATCATAAAGATAAAAGAAATTTGTTAATTTGGGACTATAGAAAAGCAGTCTTAATTGGAAGGGTCTTCAACTAGAGGGAGGTCTGTATGGAATTAAACTGAGACAAGTTGAAGGCCATTGAAGTGGGAAAGAGTGCATAGACACTTTTTGTGAAGTGTTCCTACAATGATCATTTCATCTAGATACATTTACTTATCATGCTAGCAAAGTTAACATACTATATTTCTATATCTTGTTCTTTTCCCAGCTTTCTGGAATTTGTAGCCCATTGCGCGATGCAAATTTGTACGCAAGAATGCAGCATTTCTGCAACGACAAGCCATGGAACATGTCTGCTAAACATTTTATGTGATTCGACAAGTCCACCTCCATTTCTGGAGGGAAGACAGCTTTCTTCATAGCAACAGCTTTGTATCCTGTGACAGGGTTAGCATTTTGTTCTCGTTTTAAAATAAAACGTTTCAATGTCATTCTATTAATATTGAATTCCTTCGCAACACTCCGAACACTGCTCCCTGATGCAACCTCAATAGCTGCACGTATCAACACATCCAACAGTGTGCTCCCTCTGGTGGTTTTACGTTTATAGTTACGCATTTTGCCCTGAAAATAAGTAAAATTAGTAATAAAACTCAGATGGAATACGCCTACAAATAACTGAATTTAATATAACATATAAAGTAAATTGATAAAAACTGGGGTATTACAATCTTGTTGGATTGTTGAACACCAATAAGTCTTAAATTGATCTATGCAAGTGAAGCCTGTGAGGTCATAAAATTTAGAAGTGAGTAATTGTAGTGGGTTGCTCGTTTAATTTTTTAATACCATAACACACAGCTAGCTGTCAATTCATGGTCTGATAAGCATAATAGCCCTGTGTTACTGTTTAAACTAAAGGAACAACTAATTATGTTAAGTTTATGGATCTATGACAGCTCCCTCTGGGCCACCTAACAGCTCAATAACAAAGTGGGGTAAGTTGAGCCATGGCACATCTTGCCCCATATTGACTGGCTCAACTTACCCCATAGCAACCTATGAAAACATCTGGTCAAGCATACCAAAGTGATGTACATTTGAGCATATAAAACCAACCATTATGAATGCATATAATACTGGCTACATTATGTTATCTATGAATTTGGAATCATCTCTACAGTAACTGGACCGTGATTGCACTTACCTTTTTCGGCAAATTTCACTTTTGAAGGCAAAAAAATGATTTTTCAATACAGGATGTTCAGCTCAGTGTCAATCTCTATGTCTCATACAGCAAAAAGACTTTAATGGGTACATGTTTCAACAGAGGGCAGCATATATCTGGTCAACCAATTTATATTCAATTTTAGGGGGTTGGAACAACTTACCCCATGGCTCATCTTACCCCACTCTCCCCTACATATTTTGAGATGAGTAAGGGGTGTGTATACAGCCACTGTTCTCTTGTGATGGTATTGCCACTTTGAAATGTTCACTGTTTGGCATATAAAGCTGAATAAAAAAAAATCCTTTTGAGGACATTAAGGTCTACTGTAGCTCCGGAGGCAAAATATTTGTTGATATGACCTTGACTAGGCCTAAGGCCTAGCTTTATTGGCTTGGTCTCCTCTACCTAGGGCCTAGGCCTATTAGCCTAGACCCCACTTAGTTTAGCTAGCCTAGCTAGAGGAGGGCTAGCCTAGCCTTAATAATACTAATAATAAAGACTCGACAGAGCCCTAGACTATCAATTTAACATAACATTTGTGATAATAATTAAATAATGTATACTAACAATTATTGTAAACTGTAAATCAATATCAAATCACATCTCAGATACTTAGAACTGAAGTCAGGCTGAAAAACATTGTAATCTTGTTTTTCGCCTAACATTGGAGTGCGCCCTCAGGTGTGACCGTCATATCGCAACAACAAAAAGGGATATAGACACGATAAGAAAAGTTAAAACAGCCGGTCGCTGTGTCATTAGACGCTGCAAAAAATCAACATCAAATCATTCATAAACCACCAAGCATGGCCTAGACTTGCCACAAGTCTCTTATTTTTTTTAATTATTTTTCTCATTCTGGACAGCGCCACCAACGAGAAAGTAATTTAGAGATAGACGGAATTTCGAAAAAAAAGAAATCGAGTATGGGACGCCAATTAAATTAGGTATGGCGCGCACTAAGTGCAATAAAGAGTGAGTAACCTAAAATTAGGGCCTGGAACCGAGGCTAAGCATGGCCCAGAGAGTTGTGAAGATCGCTAAAACTCTGAGAAATAATTGGAAAAAGACCACGTTTTTTGTATTGGTGGGTTCATATGGAATTTATTACGTGAGAGACAGAATAAAGTTAGTTTTTATTTCAAACTGGTTGATTCATGTACAAATAATCACTCTGCATATTTCAGGCCTGTCCAACGTTACGAACAAATGCATTTGGCCGGGATGAATGAGTTCTTCAGGCTACCTTCTTTGCTTGAGCATCGCTAACATCCTACTTAGCCTAGGCTGAGTGTATGGCTAATGGGATTGAATCTTTTGTGTTGCAAAACTAAAATTGTTGCTATTTATACTCTTGGTAATTTTAGCAGTACCTCAATGTAGGCATTCAGCTTCACTTTGTATTTTGTAATTTTAAATGAATTTTATAGGCTAGGCCCTAGGCCTAGTTAGTTGAAGCCTACCTATGCCTAGAGTTTTAGACTAGGCCTACTACAAGGCCTGTGCCCTAGTAGTATATGAATAGTAGTACTAATTACAGTTAATTTTATATGTTTGTTTAATATGGGTGCAGGTGGGGTGGATCCAGTTGGGGGCATGTATCCCTGTTTACCCACTAAATTTTGAATGCAAATCAATGTTATGTGCTACTCACTTACCTACCGGTATTCTGAAGCTGTTGTGCCCTCTGTTTGAAAAATTCTAGATCCTCCCCTGTGCACCATGCATGCATGCATTTTGAATGAGTGGCTCTGTATCAAATGTGGATCCAATAAATTGATTAATATTGTTAAGAAAGAGTGAAAAACTTTAATACTACTAGGCTGGCAAGTTTACAAATTTTCATAAATATTATGTACTGTACTATGATACAGCATCAGTCAAATTGAGTTTAGAAAGTAATGTACAAGCTAAAAAATTGCAAAACAAAACGTGTTAATAATACTAATGTTGGAAAACTTACACTCATTAGATTTTCTTTCCTTTCTCAGAGCAAATGAAATACGAGCAGATTATTGTAAACAAGCAGTAGTAAGTCTAACTTATTTTCATTTTAGGCCCAATAAAAAAATATTAGTATCACCATGTCTTCTATGGTATTGAAAAATATGTATTTTGGGGGAAAAAGTGTTAGTGGAAAATAATTACATTTTTTGTCCTTTTATTTTCTTTTTCATTTTCTTTAAATTAAATAATAATTGTTTGTATTATGTTAATCATGTATTTACTTTGAATATCAATGCAACAGCAAACAATCCAAACAAAATTCATAGTTAACGAAATGAACCAGTCGAATACACCCATTAATTCTCAGATGGTTTTTTCTTTATAACAGATATATGGGGAAGAAACCATTCAAACTGTGAGCAAACCAAGAAACGTAACAATCATATTAAATCCTGCTGCCAGAAAGGGGTGAGTTTGCAAACTGCCAAGACAAGAAAACAAAATTAAACATTTTGTCTTTAATCAAATTTACATGACTTTTCTTGTTTTATTTTAAAGGAAAGCTAAAAAGCTTTTTGAGAAGAATGCTGCTCCTCTGTTGCATCTAGCTGGTATCAATGTAGAAATAATTAAGGCAAGTTTGATTCTTTTTCTTCATTGACGGTGACTTGAGTAGAAACTTTTTATTTCTGACCTGGTAGGTCACCAGTCAGGTCACCAGTTACTGTATATGTCTCATAGTGAAAGTGGGTTCATGAGAAAAGTTTAAAACGCATTTTCTGAAAATAATATGGTATGAATCATGTCTAGTGCTTCTTTTATTTGTTTTCAATGTTTATTTAGTAGCTGTTTTCCATTGACCATCTTAGATTTGTCATCTTGGTGTAAAGAAAAAAAAGTGCCCTTATTCTCCCTTTTTTAAATATTAGGACAAGAAACTACTTTTTTTTTTTACTTGGCCTAAACAGAACCTTTCTTATATGAATTTATATAGTTTCAATTTCTCTTAATTTAGACTGAATTTGACGGCCATGCTAAAGACTGTGCTGGAGCGTTGGAGTCCACCGACGCATTGGTGGTTGCTGGTGGAAACGGTACCGTAGGAGAGGTTATAACCGGCCTGCTTAGACGAAGTGATCAACAATCAGTCACCAAGAACTGGCCAATAGGATTCATCCCTATCGGTTTCACGAATACATTAGCAAAGTTTCTGTATTTAGATTCGGAATTTGAAGTCAGGTATGTAGTAACAAAATATTCCAAAATTGATATTTCAAGACTAATTTACTTTGAAGTAACATTTTATGATATGGGATTCAGACTCGATTTATTGCTATTACAAAGTGATGTATACTATATAACCTGTCTCTTATACACATCTAGATGTGTATAAGAGGTCGGTGTATGGATTGTCCAAGTTGGAATGGGGCGAATACAGAAATGTACGAGATAGAATTCCCAAGTAAGCATTGATATAAATTACAGTATATACACTACTTGCTTGATGTAAATAATACTTTTGTACACACATTCATATTATTATAGTTACATGTGTCTTGGATATGTCAGGGATTCTGTACAGTAATATCAAAGCAAATTAAATACTTTTTACCAAATTAAATACTTTCTGATTTCTACAGGTATTGGTACTTAGGACCACTAAAGTCCAAATTTGCATATGTTTTTGCAACTGTTCAGGTAAGAAAGCTATTCTTTGATACTCAATTTTAATGTAATCATTTTATACCAAATTGTAAATATATTGATAATAATAATAATAATAATAGTAATAATATTTATAAAATTTATTGATGTAAATTGCAACAATGATTTTAATGATTTATCTTATAAATGATTTCCTGGTAGCTTTTTAGGTTTTTGTTTTTCTTCTTTGTTTATTAAATAAGAAACTCAAACTCAAGGGGTTAATCAACCAATGAATTATGATAACAATTTATAGTTTTTTACAATTGTGGTTAAAATTACTTTAGTTTTGAGAAATTGAATTTTATGCACGCAATGATAAATACTTATTTTCTAAATAGGAATGGCCACCTGTATTTAAAGCTCATCTTGCATATCGTCCACCTGTAGATGTTCCTGAAGAACCAGAGGTTAATCAACAGCAGTATAGTTTCTTTAGTCGCTTATTCTCTTGGATTTGGAGAACAGAGCAAAAAGGTATTTTGAAAGTGACCAGTGGAGAAAAACCCCAAAATATTATTATTGTACAATAGTAATATACTGAATTTAAAATAGCCTTATTAAAGAAAAAAAAATATTTGTTGATTATTCTCTATTGTGAAGGATATATTGAAAAAATATAGGCTCTCCCAAGGAAAAATGCTCTTGTACTAGAAGTATTAACTAGAACATTTCTTTTCTCCATGAATTTCTTAGAACCAGAAATTGAAGAAGTTGAGGAGATACCTTGGAAAGAGGTTGATGTATCAACGCTTGAGTTCTCTGCTGAAACACATAATGATAATGTAGAAAATGCTTTAAAGGTAAAAAAAAAAAACGTGAACAAACATAAACATAATATGAAGACAGGGGTCCAAAGTCGGAAGAAGTCATTTCCGGGAGATCTGTGGGGATGGGTTCATTTCCGGAATCTTTTGACCCCTGTGAAATAAGTCAACCTTCACCTGTGCCAAGAGCCAGTGCTAGTGCATAGGAATGTCGCATATCATATACAGATGAGATATGGGATATATTTACTACCATACTCCTTGCACTAAGATGTAATGTTTTGGTAGTTGCTTTTGATATAATATTATGTACTGTACTTTTCCTACAGACTACTAGAAGCATGAGCATAGAGACCCTGCCAACTGACATCACAAAAACAGGCTTCATCAAAGAAGGGTAAGGAAAGTACAACTATTATGAAACATTATTATTGATATAAATTTTGTTTGTTTATTCAGTGTAACCAGTTCTCCAAAAGAGACCTAATGTCTTATAATCTTGCAAGTCCTTAAATCAGTCTGAGGGAGTTGTATCTTTTGATAGGATTTTTAATTCAGGAATCTTGGAATTGAAAGGGCAGTATCCTCACAATCTATAGAGTTCAATTAGCTAGTCTCTGCTTAACCATCTTTCAAGTGGTTTATCTAGGAGTCTTGAAATCGGAGGTGGAGAGGAGGAGGGGGAGGGGCACGAAAGTGAACTGGGGATTGATGATTAAGTAAGGGGACGCTATCTCGCAAAATAAGGTGATATGAGGTGATTTTTTTTCTACTTTCGCATTAATTTTTTGCTTCAAATATCAAATATTTTCAATGGGGGGGGGGAGATGGGAATTTGGGGGTGCAGCCCCACCCTCTCCACTAGATACATCACTGCATTTTTCTCCAATGACCCATTTTCTGACATGAATTTTTTATATAGTTGGAGAAGAGTATCTAAGGCAAAAGACAATAAATCTGAGATCCAAAGTGAAACATTGCAAGTTGGTGAGTTTAAGTTGACACCAGTGGAGCCAGAGGTAAGCACTGTACTTAGCATAGCAATACTAACAATAAGCTGTTGCCTATTTAGCCCCATCCACATTATCAAGTTATATTTGACAAACACATGTGACATGCCAAAAATGGTCATGATGAATATATATGGGTAGGGCTTTACTTGTGGAATCCATCCCATTGGCTGAGTAAAAGTAATGACAGTTTGCTGACTACTGTTGTCATAGCCTCATAATTGCGCACAATGTTCCCAAACAGTGTCATCTTTCTGTCACAATAATAAATCTTTTTTTATTTATTTTTTATAGGCCAGCTTCTTCAGCATTGATAATGAACAGTTTGATGCATACCCGGTACATGTTAAAATTCTTCCAAATAAATTGAGGTTTTTCATCAATGAGGAAACAAATCAGACAAGGTGACCATGGAAAAATGCAGATAGTAAACAACAAAGGTACAATTGGGCTTAATTTGTCCATTAAGCCTTGTTTTCTTAAAATCACTACACTATCGCTACAGTGTTTTTATTACGATCATTGTACTGCGTAGCTGTCCCCAATGCAACCGAGCAATCACCAGCACTGAAGCCTGTCGGCGATAGCATGGAGCGATTTTATGGAAAACAGGTTTTCTGAGCATTATATATACAGTATTGTGTTATAACACACCTAAATGGATTTGGTATCATGTCACATTGTTATTTACACCATTTCATCAGGTAAAATGGAAATAAATTTCATTGCATAACTGGATCTAATACAATCTTTTCATTGGTTAACAGATGATGGAAAAAAGGTATATCATTAAAATTTTCCTAAGTATCAAATAAGAAAGATCTATTTGAGGTGCGTTATAAACAGTTTTCACATCACAGCATTAATTACTGTATACAGATGCTGAATGTTTTTATTCACACAATCTAGTGCAAATGCAGAAGGGGTGCAGAAGACAGTGCAATCTCACCCCCTAAATTGTATTAAGAAAAACAACTGTTGCATTGTATTGTTAAAATTTTATTTTAACACAAGATTTTTAAAGCATGAGAGTTTTCTCACCTCAGCCAAAACCATTGTAGGGCTGAGGTCGTGCAGACTCTCACGCACCCCACCACAATCCTGCGTCCGCCCCAGACAAGAGAAAGAATATTTTCATGGGTTGAAAGATCGACTGTAAAATTGGTAAAAACATGTAAATATCAGGAGTGTGGGGAGTCTCCAGTGTGTTGGGCAAAGCTATCACTAGATTTCCCGTGGAGGCACTAATCATCTGAGGTCAGTGCGAGGCATTGCCAATTTACTTTGTTTTGTACTTCAATTAATTTAGTGAGAAACTAAAAAAAAAAACCCCTTTTTTTCTTTGTCAGATTGACGTACTCTGGGTCAGCTGTGCTCACAATGCTAATGACATGG